TGCGGAGCAGTGGAAGGACGCAGAGCCATCTGGTGCGTGCCAGGGACAGGAGGACGACGCTGATGCGAACCACGACGACTAGTGCGAGCAGCACGAACAGGCGACGCAGGACGAGACTCAGGCTCACGACGCTCCGTAAGACCTCCGGTCGGACCAGTGTAAGGAGAAGGAGCAGGCAGTGGGGAGGCGGGCTGTAACTATGACTGCGACTGGACAGGCGGTGGACACTCTAAGGAAGGAGCAAGACCAGTAGAAGGCGGGAGACAAAGAACCTGCTCAAGGAGCGGAACGAAGTACGGCCGCGGCCGCGCAGCGCCTCCAGAACCAGCAGGGACAGCACCAGCACCCCCAGCGTTAGCTCCAACTCCAGCAGCACCACCAGCTCCAGCAGCTCCTCCAGCAGCTCCAGTAGCGCCAACTCCAGCACCCCCAGGAGCACCTGCTCCAGCAGCACCGCCAGCTCCAGCACCTCCAGCAGCTCCAGCTCCAGCAGCACCACCAGGCCCAGCAGCTCCAGTACCTCCAGTACGAGCACCTCCGGGACCAGTGGCTCCAGAACCCCCAGCAGCTCCAGCAGCAGCAGGACCTCCAGCGCCCGCAGCACCACCAGCTCCAGCAGCACGGCTCCAGCGCCGAGCAAACCACTCGCGCAGCTGATGTGGAGAGAGTGGCTCCCGCCGGGACGAGGCACCCGAAAGACCTCCAGGCTCCGCACCCCCAGGCTCCACACGCGCCGGCTCAGTACCCTCAGGCTCCGCACCCCCAGACTCAGCAACCCCAGGCTCAGCACCCCCAGGCTCAGCACCCCCAGGCTCAGTACCCTCAGGCTTAGCACCCCCAGACTCAGCACCCCCTGGCTCAGCACCCCCAGACCCGGCACCCACAGGCTCAGTACCCCTAGCAGCACCAGAGTCAACAGCTACCTCGACAGGCTCGACTGCGTCTACCTGGGACACACCTGAGGGGGAAGGACCCTGAGGGGGAAGGGGGTCTACCTGGGGAGGACCTGGCGCTACGAAGAGCGGCGGGGGGGGGAGGGGGGCAGTGCGGTAGGGAAAGAGACGGTAGTAAGGAACCGACTCGAGACGGCGCGAGGTGGGGTGGTAAAACTGCCAACCAGGCGCGTCAGGGGGGAAGCCAAGGAAGACGCAGGGAACAGCACGGGAGGACAGCTTGTCTGCAGACAAGTCGCGGACGAAAGCTCGAGATCCCCAGACACGGAACGCAGACGCATCGCCAACCTTCCCCGTTCACCGCAGAGTAGGTGTGGTCTCCGGCATGGAGACCCGGGGCTGGAGGTTGAGCTGATGCGTAGCGTACTGAACCGCGAACGGCCACAGAAAATGGGGAGCAGCCGCATGGATCATGGACGTATGAGCGACGTCCATGACCATGCCAATGCGGCGCTCAGCAATCCCATTTTGATGCGGAGAGGCCGGAAGCGTGAACGTCTGGCGGATGCCCTCCGCACGACAGAAGGCTCGCAGAATGTCGGAGGAAAACTCTCCACCTCTGTCGGAGTGCAGACGCAGAACAGGAAGGTCCGAGCCGAAACTCTCGCTGAGTTGACGACGGGCAGCGCGGATCCAGTCGATCAGCACCTCAGTGACCTCACCCTTGCGGCGCAAGGGGAAGACTGTGGTGTAACGCGTGTAGTCGTCAACGACCAGCAGAAAGTAGCGCTCGTGACCCTGTCCACGGACGCGGGCTGGGCCCCACACGTCCATGTGAAGAGTCTGCAGGTGAGCCTCCGTCAGAGGGAACTCGGAGGAGTGAGGAGCGTCGCGCTGCCGCCCATCGACGCAAGGAACGTAGGTAGGGGCAGGCCCCGGGGGAAGGGGAGGGAGAGACCGGGGAAGACCAGTGACAATGACACGGGAGGCCATGCCTCGGAGACGAGGCAGGGAGGGTTGACCAAGACGGTGGTGCCAGAGGAGAGTCTGGTGAGACAGGAGGCGACACGAGCAGGGGGCAGACTCAGGACCAGACCGTGACGCTGCAGCAAACACCTGACCCGACGCGGCTACCTGACCAGACTCAGCAACCGGAGGAGACACGGTAGTCAGGGTGTACAGGCTCGACCCAGGCTGACGGGTGAACGTGGCCAGATGCCGGCCCGTCCGAGTACACGAACAGTGGGTCACCCGCTGACCTCCAGGAGTGAACTGGTCAACCCACGCGTCCTGAAGGTCAGCTCCACTCACCAAGTTCGTAGAGAACGAGGGGAGGTGGAGGCCAGACAGAGAGCTAGACGGGACAGCCGGACACGGCAGGACCGTGGAGGAGTGTGCAAGGACCGGACCCCCAGAGGGGTCAGCCAGAGAGACTGCCACTGGCCGACTGAGCGGCGAGAGTGTGGTGCAGTCGCGAAAGAAGGAGAGGGAAGCACCCGAGTCAAGGGTGAAAGTGTGCAAGACCTGAGCCGACGCGGTACCTGAGAGAGCAGACTCACCAGCACCTGGAGCAGTAGACTCACTAGCACCTAGAGCAGCAGCCTCACCAGCACCTAGAGCAGTAGACTCACTAGCACCTAGAGCAGCAGCCTCACCAGCACCTAGAGCAGCAGACTCTATACCTGGGTCAGGCGGTACACACAGGTAACAGGCACCCTCAGCACTAGTATGCAAGGCATACATGGCAGTGAGGATAGCATCATAGTCAAGAGCAAAGATATCCACCCTCTGCCTAAGCAGCTCAAGCCAGGTGGGGAGCTCAGCCTCGTCGCCAAACTCGGTACGCCAGGCGTCGCTCAGACAGGCGAAGCAGCGGGACTGTGTGTGACCAATCGTCCCGCAAGTCTGGCCAGCCCGATCACCTGTGCGAATGACGTACGGGAAGTGAACAGTACTCCGTGACCCTCTACTCTGAGCGTACCACTCACGAAGCTGCTGGGGCGTAAGAGTCTCGCGCGGACGCCGCTGCAGCTGCATCTGGCCACTGCCAGAAGCTCCCGACTGACCAGCTCCAGGGAGACTGCAACTATGGCCGCCGCCACAACCCCAACTAGCGTACCACTCACGAAGCTGCTGGGGCGTGAGGGATTCGCGCGGACGTCGCTGGAGCTGTATCTGGCCACCGCCAGAAACTCCCCACCGAGCAGCTCCGCCTAGACTGCCACCACCGCCGCCACCACTCCCACTGCTACCACGAAGAGACGTCATAGTGGAAAGGCAGGGCGGCGAACAGGCACTAGGGTAGGTCGAGGCGGCGCACTGTCAGGAAAAGGCGGCGCGCGGCCAGAAGGGCAGTAGCAGGCAGCAGCAAGCAGTAGCTCCTAGGGCAGCAGCACCTAGGGCTCTTTTTTTTTTTTTTTTTTTTTTTTTTTTTTTAAGGGTTTGGCAGGGCGCACTGGGCGCTGCAGAGGTGGCTCGCGGGCTGCAGGGGTGGCTTGCGGGCTGCAGGGGCAGTGCGCTGGCTGCAAGAGGCAGGCGCGCTGGCTGCAGGGGCGGTTCGCGGGCTGCAGGGGAGGCTCGCGGGCTGCAGACGGGCGGCGCGCGAGCTGCAAGGGTCTGCGCGCGGGCGGCTTGCACGGGGCGGCGCGACGCGGGGCGGGCAGTGGCGGCGCGCAGGCAGGCAGGGCGGACGGGCGTCGCGGCGGGCTGGGGCAGCCCGCTCTGGCGACGCGACGGGCACGGGCAGGGCCGATGGGCGACGGGACGGGCTGCAGGGGCGCGCGACGCGACGGGCTGCAGGGGCGCGCGACGGGACGGGCTGCAGGGGCGCACAGCGCGGCGGGCAGCAGGGGCGCGCGACGCGACGGGCAGCTGGAGCGCTTACCAGGGGCGGGTGCAGGGCAGGGCCGCGATGGGCGGTTAGGTGAGGGCCGCAAAGGGGCGGCCGTAGGGCAGGGCCGCGACGAGGCGGCGGCAGAGCAGGGCCGCGACGGGGCGGCAGCAGGGCAGGGCCGCGACGGGCGGCGAGGTCTGGGCCGCTACGGGCGGCAGGCAGGGCAGGCGCTCGACGGGCGGCAGGCAGGGCAGGCGCTCGACGGGGTGTATGGCAGGCGCGCGACGGCGGCCGCAGCAAGGGCAGGCGCTCGATGGCGCGGGTAGGGCAGGCGCTCGACGGCGCACAGCAGGGCAGGCGCAAGGGCGCAGGTGAGGCAGGCGCGAGGCGCACGACAGGGCAGGGAAGCTCGGCAGCGCGCTTCGGGTAGGGCAGGAAAAAAATCGTGGTGGGCCCTTAAAAAAAACGTTCCCACTAGGGAACCTTCTCTGAAACCATGTGAAAGATAGAACGAGGAATGACTAGAAACAGGACAGTACAAGGTTTGTAAGGCAAAACCCAACAATACTGTGCCCCACAACAGCCTACAATATAGTTCTGACATTTTTTTTTTGGGCGGGAGTTTCATCTGTGACCATTCGCGTTTTTTTTACCAGTTGATAGTGACTGACTCAGTGAAACGTTTTATCAGTCGCGTGAAAACACCCTTTGCAGTGACCGTACCCTTTATTTTTTTACCAAAAGTGTTATCGAGTCCCATGATGGTTACGAATGGCATATTTTCCCCTTTTGTAACATCGGTTAGGTAAACCAACCCATGGGGTCCTCTCGGTCAAACCCCCTCTTCCCAAACCAGTACAAGCGTTTGGTCAGCGACGTCAATGGGCGAAAAGGTGGTTTGGGGTACTAAGAAATGAATGACGTGGCACCTGCTTTGCCAGCGTCTAACGGATACACCTAACGTCTTTTTCGCGCCATTTTGTTACGTGTCTAATAGGTTCGCCAGAGCGAAGTAGAAATTGCCTCGCCATCCCCTGTCTGTCATACTCCAGAGTTTCGTCCTGATTCTAGGCAGCGCAAGCTCCAGCCTAGACACCACCAGACCAGACACCTCCCTTCCCACCACGTTGCGCGTAGTACGTTCGTACAGCGTCGATTTCTATATTTACATATTTTTGTTTTCTATCTTAGCTGAAACAAGCGTTAGAAAACCCTTCATTACCGTTCATATCCGTTCTTCCATCCGTCCAGCCTTGACCATCGCGCTTTCATCAATGGACGAGTCGCGCAACCGTTGCACGTCACCGCAGCCGCCGGCGCCTCGCGTCTCGATCCGTCGCAATCCGTCGGATCGTACGGCCGCCACTGCGTCCGATCGTACGGCGGCTGCTTGCATCACGTGTGCGCCGTGCGACATTGATCGGCTGCCAGATGTCATCTTGCTGAGCATCATACACCACGTCACCAGCACCAGCACCAACAGCAGCAGCGGCTCCCCTTCTTCGACCACCACCAGCAGCAGCAGCAACTGCGAAGCCGTAGATGGACCGACCACCGCAATCGGCGATGCAACAAGTAGTACCACCGATACGAACATCACCCGCTCTCCATACTCAGCAGACTCATCATGCCCTAACGTCATCACCATCACCACCCGCCATGGCAGGGGCTATAAGCAACAGCAGCAGCTACCCTGCAAGGACCCTACATGCTCCTGCCGCAACGCAGAGAACACCGCCGTCGCCCCCACCTCCCCGCTGCTCACTTGCGCGCTCGTCACCCGCCGCTGGCTGCGCCTCTCTGCGCTTCTCCCCCGCGCCATCACTGTTCCCGCGGGCCTCCTCCTACGCCCCCGCTCCCTCCTGCGCACTCTCTCCGCCTTCCCCCACCTGCGCTCCCTCACGCTACACGGAGACTCTTGCCGAAGCATCAGCAACAGCAGGAGCAGAGGGACCATAAGTGATTGGCTCATCGCGCGTCTGGCAGCGCTGCCGCAGCTGACGTCACTGTCGCTCGTTGGCGTGGCGGCAATCCCGAGGCTCGCCCCCTTGGCGCCCTCCCTGCTGTGCTTAGAGATCCGCGGCGCAGGCGAGGGGGTGACGTGTCTCCCCGGAAAATGCCTAGCGCAGCTGACGTGTCTGCAGGAGCTGGTTTTGCGGGACAGCTTGGCGCTGCGGCAGCTTCCGTCTTCGCTTGCTCTAATGCCGTCGCTGCAGCGGATTCGCGTGGAAGGATGCTATTCCGTGATGCTCGATGCTTGGACGCCCAGGGATGGGTTGGCGGCTGCTGAGCCTTTTTTGAAGGAGGATGAGGAGCGAGAGGAGGGGGAGGGGCGAAGGAATGACATAACACGTGTTCATGGTGGGGACGTGGTTGCTTCGAGGGTGTCCGGGGGTGCAGGGGGTGGGGAGGATGTGAAGGCAAGCTGTGGGCAGCAACTGCCGCCTCAGTGGAGAAGGCGACAGCGGCGGCAACAGAAGAAACTCCATCGCTGCCGTGAGAAGGTTCTGCAGCAGCAGCAGCAGCAGCAGCAGCAGCAGCAGCAGCAGGTGTCACAGGTTGACTGTCAGGGTGGTGTCGCCTCTGTCACGGCAGCAGCACAGCCACGCCAGCCTTTGTTCTTCTCCAAGCTGCAACATCTCGAGCTTGCTGACGTGTCAGCCCTGCATAAGCTGCCACGTGGCATCCTCCAGCACCACTCACTCAAGCACCTCGTGCTGGATGGCTATTCAGGCGCCTCCCTTTCTGTTACTGGCAGCGTTGACCCCGATTCAACTAGGTCATCGCTCGAACCTCCCATCCGCATGCCCAGCCTGCAACATCTGGTGCTGCGCAACCTTCCAAAACTTTGCGAGCTACCCAAATGCCTTTCCCTGCCCGCCGCCTGCCCGTCCCTCACCATCCTTACCATCGAGAACTGCCCGTGCCTCCCGTCCCTCCTCACTCCTCCTGCCAGCCTGCACACCTTAAAGCTTCACAATCTTCCCAACCTGACAGCCATCTGCGATCCACTGCGTGCCCACTGCCCATCGCTCTCTGTACTCGTTATAAACCAATGCGCCAACCTCCATACAGTGCCGTGCTTCCCATCGCGCGGCCTGTTGCGCGTGGAGATTCGCAACCTCCCAAACCTCACAGCACTCACAAGCCCGTCCTCCCTCCTCAACCCCTCCTCCTCCTCCCCTCGCCTCTTTGCAATTGAAAACTGCCCTCTCCTTCCTATAAATGCTATAAACACCTCTGCACGCCCCCCCTTGGCCTTCAAATTCCCAAGCCTGAGCGAGCTATGGCTGCACGACCTGCCGCTGCTGCACGAGCTACCGCCCTCCTTCTCCTGCCTCTCCTCCCTGCACCGTTTGGTCATCACCCGCTGCCATGGGCTCAACTCACTCCCCCACTGCCTGCCAGAGCTCCCCTTGCCGCGCGATCTTGCCCTCGTAGTAAACCACAACCTCACCATCCCCAGGGATTTCCTGCCGCAGCTGCACTCGGTGCAGCGCCTGGTGGTACATCGGGAGCGGGAGAACAAGACCATGATTGCACATCACGGGAGGGTGAGGCCACAGTTTGCGCTGCCCCCGCGGGTGCAAGAGCTTTACACGGATGACTTTGGTAGCGAGGTGTTGCGGTTGCATGAGCTGCAAAGACTGGAGGTGATTGGGGAGAACCTCGCAAAAGTGAGTATTAGCGAGATTGAGGTGATGAAGTGATGATGGGTAACGGAGAAGGTGGGTGGAGGGATGCAGAGGCAGAGGAAATCAGTGACAGATTTGTTGCGAACTGTTGGGAAAAAGGGAGACCGCTAGCGTGGGTGGCCAGCGTCTTGGAGAGCAACCAGAGCACTGATGTCTGCAGCAGCAGCAGCGAGATAACTAGCAGGAGCAGGAGCAGCACTAGGGAGCATGGAAGCAAGCGACTGTTGCCTTGCTTGAAATGGCTGGCCCTTGTTGACTGCCATGTTGGCCCTCGCTTCCCTCCCTGGATGCGCCACCTCACGTCCCTGCAGCACCTCTCGCTCTCCCACATCCTCCGGTACGATATGTTCTTCTGCCCGTCGGAGCAAGTCCAAGATTTTCACCAATTCCGACGCGTGGTCCAAGCTTATTCGCCGGAGGAGGAGCATTGGGAGAATCTCACGTCACTGCAACGGGTTGAGAGATGTGTGTGCTGCCCCATAGCCGTGCCTTCAGAGTGGCAGCGTTTTGTGTGTGTGGTAGATGCAGTCGTGGCAAAGGCAGCAGCTTGTGGATACGATGTGATTCGGGGGGAGGCAGCAGCTTGTGGAGGTGATGTGATTCGACGGGCAGGGTTTCTGCTTGGAGACTTGGGCGGAAGCAATGGTCTATGATATGTCCCGCAAGGCGTACCCCCAGGCCTTACTTCAATAGTTACGGTTCTTAAAAAGTTGTACCACCTACTATGTCTTAGGCCTTGATGCTTGCGTTGTGAACATACGTACTACAGTACTAGAGCAAGAATGGGTTCAACCTTTCTACCCGTATCACACAGCAACCACCGGGTGATTCATTCCTAGTTCGTAACAGGGAGACTGTGAGATGCTCTTCTAAAGTGAGACTGTGAGATGCACTTATCAGAAGCAGGTACTACCGGTAACACACGAGCAACTCGCAAACAGGTTCCGTGCGCCAATGCAATTGTGTTACTGCTGAGCAGTACTTGTCCGGACGATTTGGAAGGGCGGTCACATGCAAGAAGTTCTATCAGTGGTCAGAACGTGTAAATGACGTCGCATGTGCTTTCACGAGGTGCTTTTCGACAAGGGCAACCAAAAACGTCTGAACAGTGGCCCGTCCGGACGGGCAAAGGTGAAAAACGTTACCCGCCCTCCATCATACCATTCCTAAGGTATTGTTCGGTCTGGGTGTCACTAAGCCATTGACATTAGTATAATTAGATTAGTAGTTGATCATCCCCGCATTGATACAGTAGGTTGTTCACTAAGGAATTGGGTGGACTTGTGTCCCCCATAGCAACTTGCAGCTTGTGTGCACTTTATCAGACTTGCCAGGAAAGATCTTGCGATGCATGCCCTGCCCCTGAGCCTGCAGCAGGATCTTCTGCAACTCCAAAAGCACCTGCTGCTTATTCTCCATGTGCCGACACAGCTTGCGCCCGCGCTTCTCCACAGCCGCAAACCGCTCGAGTGTTTTCTCGGCGCGGGCAAGGAGCCGCTCTGCCTCCTGCACCTGCACGTGAGACTTCTCCACTGCCGCCTCCACCACACGTGCCTCCATGCCCTGCCACCCCTTCTCCCCCCCTCTCTCCCTGCCCTCGCCCTGCTCCAGTACCGCCACCATCTCCCAGTACACCGCGCCTGTCACCTGCTGCAGCGCTGCCCGTGCTGCCTGCACCTGCCGCTGCAACTCCTCAGAGCATCCCGTCCCTCCCCCTCCCACCTTACCCGTGGTCACACCTGCACCGGCCCCAGTTGCGCCCACAGCAGCAGCAGCGGCCCAGAGCAGGGGCGAGCTCATCCACTTCCTCAGCCGGCTGGGCTCGCTGCCACTGCCGCTGCCACCGAACGCACTACCCCCCCCGGCACCCGTGCCCGAGGCTGGCACGGCCAGGTATGACGCTTCCCGCGTGTGCGTGCGTGTGGGGGTGTGAGAGGGCGTGTTGGTGAGAGTGCGGGTGAGTGTGCGGGTGTCTGTGAATGACTGGGTGTGTCCCCTAGGTGTGGACACGTTGCTGGAAGGGCCAAGAGCCAGCGCCAGGCGGGTGAGACTGGCGCGTGAGTTGAGCAGTGCACTGGGCCCCTCGCCGCCATCCTTGCCACCACCACCACCCACCGCCCTGCCATACCCACCACCGCCGCCACTGCTGCAGCTGCTGCTGCCGGCAGGCACGAGGCTCACCACAGCCGACATCTCCTCAATCGCCCGCCGCCTCGCCTCCCCATGCTGCGGCGCCATCTCGCCTCCACTTCCCCCTTCACCCTCCCCCTGTGCGCTCCCCTCCCCTGCGGCGAACAGCTGGTGGAGTGAGTCACTCTCGGACCGCTCGCTGCCTGTCGCACACCACTGCCCGCCCTGCCTCGTCTGCTCCGACGGCCCGCGCCACATGCCCGGCTGCACACGCCCCTCCTGCTCACACGCTCGCCCCACTTCCACCACCTGCTTCCCCTTCCCGCTGCCCCCCCCACCGCCTCCTGCTGCTGACTTGGCCCTCCTGTGCGCCCTGCTGCTGCTCTGCTCGTCTCTGTCCCCTCTCTGCTCGCCTGTACTGGCACTGACACCCACACTCGCACTGGTACTGGCAGAGCGGGCGTGGAGCACCCCTACAGACCAGCCCTCCCCACGTGATGGGCCTTTGCTGCTCTCTGCCCCTCCGTATCGCTCCTCCTCCTCCTCCTCATCCATCTCCTCGTCTCCATCCTCATCCTCGCTCTCCTCCTCCTCATCGCCATTCTCAGCACCTGCATCCGCACTCTCCATAATCTCCTCCTCAATCCCCCGGACCTCCCCTCCGTCTCTCGTCCCCAACAACTCATCAGCTGCACGTCCCCCGCTCTCCTCCCCCCAACTTTCGCTCCCCAGCGCCGCCTTCTCCGCAACCCCATTCCCCACCTGCTCATTACACGTGCCCGCCGCAATAGCTGCACCCTCATCGTCGTCAGCACCAGCTGCATCATACCACCCCTCCTCTGATCCACTGTCGCTCAACACCTCCCCTTCCTCCACCTCCTCGCTCTCCCTCCCTGCACTTCTCTCGTCCTCCTCGTGCTCGAACTCTCCACCTCTTGCCTGCTCATCACCTTTCCTCCTCTCTTTCCGTTCTTTTTCAGCATCCTCTCTCCGCTTTTCCTCCTCTCTCCTCACTTCCTCCATTCTCCTCTCTTTCTCCTCTATTCTCTTTTCCTCCTCTATTCTCTTTTCCACCTCTCTTCTCTCTTCCTCCTCTCTTCTCTCTTCCTCTTTTCTCCTCTCTTCCTCCATTCTCCTCTCTTGCTCTTTCCTCCTCTTTTCCTCCTCTCTCCTCTCTTCCTCCTCTTTCCACTTCTCCTGCTTTATCCTCTCTTCCTCCTCTCGTCTCTGCTCTCTTCTCTCCTCCTCCTCTCTTCTCATCTCTTCCTCCCATCCTCTCTTTTGATCTTGCTCACCCTCCACTGCACTACCATCCATCGCGCTCTCCTCACCCACCCACACGCCCTCGCGCATGGGATCAGCGCCACGCCTCCCCTCGCACCACCTGCCCTCCTGCCCGCTGTGGCGAGTGCCTCGCTCCACCTCCTCCTCCACCTCCTCGCCGCCCTCCGACCACTCATCCTCCTCCCCAGCAACAATCCCTTCCGCCAGCACCCCACTCAGTCTGCTTCCCTCCTCCTCCTCCCCTTCCCCCTCCCCATCCCGCTGCTTCGACTTCCCCCGCACGCCCCTCCGCGTCCCCCTCCCCCCTCTCCCCCCGCGGACCTTGAGCAGCAGCAGCTTCAGCGCCACGCACAGCTGCAGCGCGCCCTGCTCCAACCAGTTGCCCTCCTCCGCGCGCTCACACACCCTCTCCGCGTCCCGCACCAACGCCCCCACCTCCCCCGCCAGCCACTTCGCCCCCGCCCCTGCGTGCCTGCCACCTCCCTCCACTGCGTGCGCCATGTGCTTCGCGCACCCCTCTCTGTGCCTTGCTTGCCCCGTGCCGCCCCTGATGCCCTGACCGTAACCAGCTTGACCGCCTTCCACATCTCTCCCACCGCCCCCACCACCACCACCACAGCCATACCCATCAGCATCGCCATCAAGATGAGCGTTCACCCCTTGCCAGCATTCCTCCTCGCACTCTCTGCTGTCACTCCCTTGCCCACCGCACTCTCCATCCCGCCTCCCTCCACCCATCTCCGCCCCTCCTCCCCACCGCCGGGCATCACAGGTCTCTCGTGCCTCCCCACGTGCCTCCCGTCCCCACGCGCCCTGTGCAGCAGGCAGCACGGCCACCTCCCCGGCGTCGGACCCAGTGCCAGTGCTGTGCTTCAAGTGGAACGAGAACTCCGATGCTGTCTCCGTCTCCTCGTCTGTCTCTGCCTCCGCCCACACCCCACCGCACCTCACCGCCCCTTCCCCTTCCCCTTCCCCGTCCGCCCGCCTCTCCGCACGCCCCCAATCACCCGCCCTCCCCTCGCACGGAGTACACCCTCCCGCCGCGCCTCTCCCGCACCCCCGCCCACCCTCCGCGCGCTCACACGCACCACCCTCAGCGTCCGCGTGCCTAGGCCCCGCCGCACTCCGCCTGCTACATCTCGCGTCGTGGCTGCTGCTGCTGCTCGTGTTGCTGCTGCTGCTGCGCCCCCCCACCCCCGCGCCGTTCCCCGACGCGGCAGCGTGAATCATCTTCTCCCGGAACCCACTGTACAGCCCGCCCATGCTGTCCGCGCTGCTGCTCACACTCACACTCAGGCTGATGCTGCCATCCACGCTCTCCGTCTCGCACCCATTCCCGCTGCTCCGCCTCTCCCGTCCTGCGCCTTCCTCGTCACCCCCCTCATGTGCGGGTGCAGGCGGGCGGGACCAGCCCCGCCACTTGCTCACCACGTCTGCTGCGCCCTCGTTCCTCTCCCCCTCGCCCGTTTCCGCCTTGCCCAGTTCCACCGCCCCCATCTGCCCCGCCAACCCCGCCTTGCTGTGCGCCTGCGCCTGCGCCTTGTCGTTCCCCCGCAGCTCCGCCATGAGCTGCGCGTGCGCGAGTCTGAGCGCGCGCAGGGAGTGGTCGGCGCGCTCCTCGCGCTCGATGGCCACCATGGCCATGGCGTGCGTCGCGCTCACCTCCTCCTCCATCTCGCTGATCAGCAGCCGGAACTGCTGCTCGCGCTGCGCCGCCGACCCGCACAGCTGCCGGATCTGCTCCTCCAGCTCCGCCACCTCCTCCCGCGCGCGCCGCAATTCCTCCTCGCCCAGACCGCACGCGTCCTGCGCCGCTTGCAATGCCGCCTCGCTCCGCTCCGCCGCGCTCTCCGCTTCGCTGGTCTGCGCCAGAAGGTCCGCCACCTCCGCCTCGAGCCCCTCCACCTCGCGCTCCAGAGCCGCCACTCGCCTCTCCGCCGCCATCCTCCGCCAACACTCCGCCTCCGCCTCGCGCTCCGTCGCGCGAGCCACCTCTTCCTCCGCGCGCAACGCGCAGTGCAGTTCCGCGATCTGACGGGCAGAGGGTGGGAGGGAGGGAGGGAGGGAGGGATACGCGGATGGGCGCGGGGGAACGGAACAGACACGGTGGAGAGACGAATCTACTATCACGGTCTTCTTGAGACACGTACTATGCGCCGCGCGTGCATCGGGTTGGGAGCGTGACGTGACATACCTTGTTGTTGAGTTCTTTTTCGTGGTCCCGCAACTCCTGTAATTCTCGCCAACACGCTCCTAGCTGCTCCTCCTGCGACTTGCTGCACCCTTCCATCTCCGCGCTTCCTTCTCCCGCCCCATCCAACTCCGTACACCGCTCTCTCCTTCCTTCCGATTCCACTCGTCGCTCTCTACCGCTAAACGATGCGCATCTCTCCGTCGCCGCCCAACTCGCTCTCGCATCTGGCGTTCCCGCCGACCGCTCTCCTCGCCCTTCCGATTCCACTCGTCGCTCTCTACCGCTAGAGGATGCGCATCTCTCCGCCATCGCCCAACTCGCTCCCGCATCAGGCGTTCCCGCCGACCGCTCTCCCCGCCCTTCCGATTCCACTCGTCGCTCTCTACCGCTAGAGGATGCGCATCTCTCCGCCATCGCCCAACTCGCTCCCGCATCAGGCGTTCCTGCTGACCGCTCTCCTCGCCCTTCCGATTCCACTCGTCGCTCTCTACCGCTAAACGATGCGCATCTCTCCGCCATCGCCCAACTCGTTCTCGCCTCAGGCGTTCCCCCCGACCGCTCTCCCCACCCTTCCGATTGCACTCTCCGCTCTGTATCGCAAGACCATTCGCGTCTCTCCGCCATCGCCCAATTCGCTCTCGCCTCGGGCGTTCCAGCCAACCGCTCGCGTGTCCTAACTTCTCCGCCAGCTCGCTCGTTTGCGCCCATCGAATCCGATCCGCGCGCCGACATCACAACATTGTTGTTCAGGCGGCTGGTGTACAAAAGCGTGCAGTAGAGACTTGATACCGTGGTCCGTAGGGAATGTACTGTCCGTGGGCTCGACCTACGAGCTAGTCGCTGCACCTCGTACGAACCTTGCGTCTCGAACCTACTGTACCAGAATGTAGACTCGGGAGAAAGTACAGCTTTGGTAGTGGCTACTGTTGTGTGGACTCTGCAAGAGGGGTGAATCCCGAGTGTTCGAGCCCCCCCAACCTGCATACCTTCCTTCCACCAACTCACTGTCAGGTCAGGGTGACCTGGTGTGCTTGTCGTGATAGGCAGTCGAGGTTTTGAAAAGCGGTTGGAAGTTGGAGGGGCAAGGCTCGACTCCCGAGAGAGCCCTTGGCCTGTCGGTGTGATCTTCGCGTCGCGCTGAAAGGTTTTTCAAATCCTCCCGCCATTTCCCGGAACAGAGCAGTCAACGGCTCCCATCGGGCCTGCTTTGGTTTCCTGGGTTTGAGAGCCCTCGCGAATTTGGCGCGTTGCCCCAGCCCCTGACGAGTACCAATGAGCTACAGGCGAATTTTCATCTGTCAGGGGCAGCTCGCCGACGACATATAATCGCGAAAAAAAAACGAAGTTACGAGTTTCGTCCGCCGTCAGATGGGTGTACGAGGTTCGCGTCAGCTGCGCAACGGAGGCACAACGAAAACGGTGGTGCAGAAGAGGGAGTGTAGTTGCTTATAACATTTCTGCACAGATGCTCTTGGAGTTGGATGGAAATCTACCGTATGCCTAGCTTGTGGATGCAATTTCGGCGCCAGAGGAGAAAAACAAATAACAGCACAATGAAAAAAAGGAACAACAATTTTATTCAAGAATTGAATTTTTAAATAGATTAGGCATTTAATGTAATTTTTGTTGTCACCTAAATTATTTTTGTGCTTGGTTTGTGGTGTCAAGAACTGAATCATGATTTCACTAAAGTTGGTTGGGGTACATAAACCTAACCCAATCTGTTGTACCCTGTTACGATATGAAATTACATGAGAAGGCATTCCTGTATGCTGCAAGAGCCGACTCTACCGAGTACGAAGTCGAGGAGTCAGAAGAGTCGAAGCGACGCAGCAACCGTCTGACCAAGACCGATGCAGGCAGAAACATTTGAAATGAAAAGAGTGGGAACAGGTTTGAAACGGGTTCCCGCGCCGCACGGTTTAATTCGCTGCAATAAGGGAATGTACCCCTTAGAGTACATGGCTAGTCTATGTCTTTTCGTATTCCTCTGTATTCTTATATAAACCCGATGTATGCATGATTTTATCAACTCAGTCATTTACATTCACTCTGACCTGAGATTCAAACTTCCGCTGCAACACCTACTCTGCGATCAACCCTGGGCGATCCTTCGCTAAGTCCCATCTGGGATTGTAACATGGTATGAGAGCTACTCAGGGATTCTTCGCGAGAACACTTCCGTGAAATTCGCCCAACCTAGATCTGGCGAGCGGCACACGCTCCAAGACCAAGACGGCAGGAGGATCCGAAGGCCAAGCAAATCTGACGGCTGAATGACAAACCAACCCAGCTGCGACAAATGAGGCGACAACTACGATCGGCACTGCCGCACTCGAGCAGCTATTCTTTCGACTCTCTACTATGGAGAAAGAACTCCAAGAACTGCGCAAAGGCGATGCGGGAACTTCTTCCCAACCAGCTCAACCTGGACAACCGGCTACGAAAAGCCGCGATACCGCCGCGCACGCCTTCTCCATTGACACAGACAAATCAACAACAACTGCCCCCCGTCCAAGTGATGAAGTCATCAATTCTGCGCAAGCACGCTTTCTCAGCGTTTCCAAAATCAAGACTACTGTCGCATTTGACGGCAATGACTTCTATACATGGAGTTTCGTACTTGAGCTCCTCCTACAGACAGCGCAGATCTACCATTACTTCGACGACTCCTACCCTAAACCGGTGGAAAACACCGAGGACGCCAGGGCTCAGTACTACAGCGAGTCCCTTATGGCATATAGTGTGCTGCTACGCAACATGACGCCTGCGGAACAACTCAGCATCCACTCCTACAAAGAGAGCGCCGCTCCAGCCTTGGAAGCCTGGAAGCATCTCGTTGAGGTTTATCAGCCGAAAGACTCGGTCACCGCCAGCAGGCTCCTGCAGCAACTCATGGAGACAAAGATGGGGCACGGGGAGAAAGCGAATTCTTATATTAACCGCTGTCGGAATATCCGTGACCAGATCACGAAGCATGGGAGCGCAATCTCGGAAGAGATCTTTGTCAACATAGTCCTTCAAAGACTCGGGCCAGAGTGGAATGTCAGAATGTTGTATTTGTCTAGCCTGTAGTGGGGTACTCTATAGCGAGTACAGCCCAATTTAGGGTTTCCTATATGTACTCAACTGCTTGCTAGTGCAACCCCTTTTCGTGTTCTAACTCTCTGCTCACTATTCTGATATGCTATAAGAGCAGGTCGACCCTCTCGGGTCGATCCTGTGGATGGGCCCACCTACGTCTTCCGCTGCTGTCCTTCCTATCGCGCGCCTCGGGCGCGCGACCTTTCCTGCCTGCGGCGCGCTCGGGGTGCGCGGCGTTTTTTCTTCCCGCCGTGCGCTCGGGGCGCGCGGCGGTTTTCTGCCCGTCGCGCCGCCCTGCTCGTCGCGCGACGCCCTGCCCTGCCCGTCGCGGCGCCCCCGGGGACCCGCGCAATGCTTTTCGTCGCCCGTCGCGGCGCCCCCAGGGACCTGCGCGCCGCCCCCCCCTCCCGTCGCCTCGTCGCGGCGCCCTGGGGGCCCGCGCGTCGCTCCCTACCGTCGCCTCATCGCGGCGCCCTGGGGGCCCGCGCGCCGTCCCCTCCCGTCGCCTCGTCGCGGCACCTTGGGGGCCTGCGCGCCGCCCCCTCTCGTAGCCTCGTCGCGGCGCCTTTGGGGCCCACGCGTTGCCCCCTCCCGTCGCCTCGTCGCGGCGCCTTGGGGGCCCGCGCGTCGCCCCCCTCCCGTCGCCCGTCAAGGCGCCCTGGGGGCCCGCATGCAGCCCCTCCCGTCGCCCGTCGAGGCGCCCTCGGGGGCCCGCGCGCGGCCCCCCCTCCCGTCACCCGCCGTGGCGCCCTCGGGGGGCCCGCGCGCTGCCCCCCTGCAGCTCGCGAGCCGCCCCTACAGCCCGCGAGCCGCCCCACCAGCCCGCGAGCCGCCCCTGCAGCCCTCGCGTGCTGCCTTGTGGAGCCGCGCACCGCTCCCTGCCCTCGTGCAACTGCGCGGTGCCGATTCTGGGGGTGGCGGGTGTGTGTGCGTCGCCACTCGCTCCTCCTCCTCCGTCTCCCACTACTGCAGCTCCCGCTGAGGGGGGTGGATGTGTGGGAGCCGGAGGAGTGGCGCTAAGGAGGTGCCGTGGGAGTGGAGCTAGGGGTGCAGCAGTGGGTGAGTGAAAGGGGTGTGGGACAGCTGGGGGAGGTTGAGTGGAGGCAGCCGTCTTGTCGTCCGCAGCGCCAGTAGTCCGGAGGCTACAATCTCCGGTAGTCGCCAGTCGCTCGTGGGTCAGTTGCTCCAGCCGCTCGGTGTAGCCGCGGAGCCAGTTACTCCTGAAGTCCGGGCCTTTGCTTCGGTAGCCACTGAGCCAGCCGCTACAGTGTGTCTGCAGCTTCAGCCGTTGCCTCCCATCTTCTCGCCCCCACAGTCTCTCCTCCTTCTCACTTGCCCTCTGTGATAGCCTCTAGCTTTACTTATCATTGTGAACTATTGCTCTGCCTGCTTGTTGTGCTGATTACACCCCACTTTGGCTATGGGGGTGTGTCAGAATGTTGTATTTGTCTAGCCTGCAGTGGGGTACTCTTTGCGAGTACAGCCCAATTTAGGGTTTCCTATATGTACTCAATTGCTTGCTAGTGCAACCCCTTTTCGTGTTCTAACTCTCTGCTCACTATTCTGATATGGAAGCCCTGCAAAGCGCTACTCCGACAACGAGGAATTATCTCAGAAGCCGTGCTATGCGCCGCACTCCTGACTGAACAGCAGGTCATGGACTCCAGTAGAACAAGCTCCGCGCCGCGCCGAGAGCGCCTCGCCTTCTACGCAGACAACCGTGAAGAGCGACGACAACCAAGGCGCCACTATTGCAAAATATGCAAAGTCTTCGGACATTCAACGGATCGATGCAAATTCCGATCCAATTATCGCCACCCAAACTCCACTCACCACAACAACTGGGTCGGCCGACAAGACGCTCGTCATCCTCAGTCTCAGCATCAGACACCTCGTCCTCCTGCACAACATCAACATAAGCAAACTCAAGGACCTCAATCAGGAGCTCCTAGAAACATTATCGCAAACATGGCGACGCGACGACGCCGCGCTACTGAACCTGACGAAGAGGATGAGATCCAAGGAAGACTCCTTGAACCAGAAGAGGGTTGGAATAATCCCCTCACTGAAGACCACTATTATCAGTATGACGAAGACGAGCAAGATTGGAACCAGCCAGTCACATTGCGGGAAAGCCCGCCACACGACAATCAGCTTTACGTACCTGTGGGATGGAAGGAGGAGGAAGATCTATTCTTTCACAGACGCTACAAGGCGACACTGGTGACTCCGCGACTCGCACTGCTCTTACGGAACAACAACACCGACAACCACAACACCTGGTACCTGGACAGCTGCTGCGGACAACACATGGTGGGATCCACGCGATACGTATCAAACCTGAGCCGCGCTCCCGCAACTTACATCACCGTCGCCAACAATCATCAACTGCACGCCAAAGCACAAGGCATCGTCGTCCTGCAAGCACGAGACAG